ATTATCACCAAAACTACTCAACACTACAGTAATAGCCGTCAAACACATGCAAACATAAACCCAAACACAACTCCATAGACAACACTGTATGCCATGTGTGTTGTGTACACATAAGCGAGTGTTGACTGTAGTTATGGTCCAATGGTTGCCAACAAAATATGTTTGAAATTTGCGTCCAATTTATGACTCATTTGTCTGTTTATCAGTCAATGAAGACATTGATTGTCTAATGACTGAGACGTCGAGGAAGTGGTTATCAGTTTGATTGTCACCACAAACACAGACACCACTCATGAGTGGTCACCACAAGGAGGCGATTGTCTTACACCTCATTGTCGTCGGCTTTCACCACAAGAAAGGATGTCTTGTGAGTGAATCCATACACGCATTGACCACTTGATAACTGATCCCATTATCACCTCTAATGACAGGTCGAGTACTGTTACCCACCGTTTGCTACCACCGCTGCCACAGATAAAGATAATACTGCCTCTGATGGCAATCACTCGTCACAAGCGTTGGACACAACAGAGAGTAATGAGAGCGAAGACACCACAAAGACATCGACGACTGAGTCGATAGTATTGCCGCACATCTGGAAGACGTTGCCATCGCTGGCACTGCCCGACGGTTCCCACAACTACGAGAGGGACGCCATATATTTCCATTTACCCGACCTCTCGGACCACAACCGCACCATCTTCGGGGTCTCCTGTTATCGACAAATCAATGCTAATGTAAATCACTTGCCATTTGATCCATAAAACGAGCCCACAATTAGCCAAACGACTGTCCCGTGTGTTAACTCTGACACATCCCTACCTTTAAGTCTCTGTCCAATTGATCCCTGAAATGGTGGTCTGTTTTACTGATCAACACATTGAATGTCTTATCTTTGAATCGACAGAAACTGAAGGCCCGGACATCGGATGTGACGCGAGGAACGGTCCAGAAGTCAGTGGTAGTGCTCTCACGGCTCCCACTGTATGGTCTGATTGAAGCCAAACTCGAGATGATCACTCACGCCTACTTCCGGGAACTGGACTTCAGTAAAGTGTCGCTCCTGGAGGAGACCTACCATAACCTGAACGCACAGCTCACACCCACACTCATGGCGTCGCAGGAACTGTACGTCGGACTCGCCACCAGACAACTGGTCCATGACTTTCACCATAAGATTGTAGTGTTATTCAAACTCTTACTACTGGAGCGCAAAGTACTGTTTTACAAGTCGCCCGTCAAACACCTGTGCGTTTCCATACTGTCCCTGTGCTCACTGATGCCGGGCCTCATACGCCAGGGGCTGACCCACTGCTCGGTGTCGGTTCACCCGAAGACTAGCCGCCAGTTCTCGGCTGATGTCGAACTCAGTCCCGCCCACAAAGACAGCGACGAGTTCTTTGTGTTAACCACCGGTGCCCACAGTACCAGACCTACCGATCTATCTATTGTTGATGACACTGTTAATACCATTACTACTGATAAAAAAGTTAACGAGAGCACCGTTACCTCTGATACTACTGTTAAGACTGAGTTAGTGGACAGTAGTTGTGTTCAGACAGAGAGTAAGGCATCGATTGTCACAACCAATGACTCGGACGACGAGTTACTCAAAGAGATCGATGAAGTGCTCAGCGAAAAGTCATCCAATAGTTCGTCCACTAAGTCCTCACCGCACCGGGAGGTACAGCACTCGCAGTCAATATTCTACGATAGGGAGGAACCGAAGCCGGAACGGGTGGACAAGATTGCGGACTCTTCGCGCGTGGAAACGCCGCCAATACTTAAGTTACGGGACGAGGACTGCGGACTTCCGCTCGAGATATTCAGTTGCGGCGCATATCTGCAGCCATACCTATCGCTCACGTATTTGGATGTCTTGACGGACGTGAGGGTCAGGAGCTGTTTGATCGGCGCAACCAATTTCCTGTTCAAACAGAAAAAGGATATCTTCGATGTCATCGTCGAAGTAATCACTAGTTTTGTGCTCTTTTTTGATGAAAATTTTATTTATTGATTGATTTGTTTGAATGGGTGGACAGTTAGACGGCGGGAAAGTAGATATACTAGACGTAGAGCTACGCAAACAACTGACGCTAACCACAGAAGACTTACGGTTCGCCGACTTCTTGACCAAAACGGTGTTATCTGATGGAGAGAACGGAGATATCTTTGTGGACGGAACCGGTTGGGAGGGAAGTGATGAGTGGATTAGGTATCAGTTTAAGGCTTACTTATTGCATCTGTTGAGGTCGTCTGAAATGGACGGTTAGTTTTGTGATTAACATTTGTTTTGCGTATTTTTCAATGGATTTTTGATTGCTGTGTAGAGAATACGAAAGATTATCAATCATTTAACACACATTTTATGAGCGCCTGGCGAACGACACACAACTACAAGATGTGGAACTCTGTATCGCATCCATCAGTATTTGAGGTGACGTGCGGTCACCCATTTGGCGGACAGTTGGGTATAAACGATATGAAGCTAAAGCTCTCTCAGTATGTATTGATTTAAATTGCTATTAAGAGTGAGACATGACTTCAGTTTTGTTGATTATTTTGAAGAATGTTTTACTCGAAAGCCGATCAAAACAAACGACTCAATCAGACAGTGATGCGGACGTCGAAAGCCATGGGCGGCGCCGTTACCACAGCTAAGTCGACGCTTAGCTCAGCCGTCACCACCTTCTGGAACAATTGGTCCACACCTAAGACATCCACAACCGATAGTAAGCAATCGGATACACAAAATACTTCACAAAAGCGACCCGAAGCTGAAACACAACTATAATACTGATAATAGTTATGAAATTGATAATTAGTTTTGTCGACAAATTATTAATTAAATTGTTTAGTCAATTGGTTAACAAATGATTTATTTTTTTTGTTTATTATTTATTTTAATTTAATTGTGATTCAATTTACCGGTAATTTTAGTTATTTATAATACAAACATATACTAAACAATTAGTAATATTATGTGATGTTTTCGAAACGACTTTCACTTATATTTTTATAAATGAAATGATTTTTATTTTTATCATAAATATCTATTTCGAGTCAATTTTACTGTATTTGGAAACTAATAGTTTTACTATTGATTTGATTATATTTTTAATTAACTATCTTTACAGTAGACTTTGGATATTATAAATGGATTTATTTTGATTTACATTGAACTGACAATTGTGTACTTATGATTATCATAAAGTCTTAAGATTTTTGTATACAGTTTATAATAAACTCGATTCAATAGTCTATTGAATGGTTTATTATGAAGATTTAAACGTCTTCTACACCACTATAAGAGAGACTTTTAAAAAATTTTATATCTAGTCTTGAGTTAAATTTGAGTTAAAACAAAGATTACATGAACTCAAACATTAATATCACAACTTTTTTTGTATGCGTTTATCTAAACATTCCCTTTAAAATAAATATCAATTTCCACTTTTTAAACAAATCCTTATCGCCTCTTATTCCCATTGACTATAAATACGACAAACATTTCGCTCATTTATGTTAACTTTTATTCCCGAAAATGTGTTGTGAAAAGTACTCATATGTATGAGAAACACACAATTTTCCCATAAAAATAGCGATTTTGTAAAACTCATTTGTTATTTATATATTCATTAAAACAGTTAATAAATTAAAATAATATTTTTGTTATTGTTTGCAGTGTTTTCTAATATAAATCGAGAATTTGTTGTTAGTATTTCTCGGAATATGTTTTGTCACTTGTTTTAAGTCTGGGTTTAAAAACCGTTTTTTGTAAAAATGATTGATATGTCTTGAAGTTGTTTTTGATTGTGGAAAAAGCAATCTCTTATAGAAATTCATAAGAAAGTGAATAAAAAGCATATTAATTACAAAAATTAATGCAATTATCGTCACAATTGATGTCATTTGCCTCAACACCCGATGCGATCCGTATGCCCACAGAGAACCGGTAATTGACACTCAAATTCATTACCAATTTATTATTAAACTAATTTTTACAATACTATAAAATATTTTTAAATTAAAAATGCAATTCAATACACAAAACCATTTAATTAATTTTTGATTAATAAGTTCATGTAATCAAGCCATAAAAATATTTGATTTCATATCGTATGATAAAGTCTTTATAATATTTGTTAAGATTTTTTAATTAAATAGTTATTAATATAATCCGCTGCTAGTAACGTATAAATGCAAGTTATAATATATTAATTAAATTTAATATAAATAAATTTTTATATCTGAAATATATTGGAAATTAAATTCATTTTTTAAAACAATCTGTGATTTTGATAACAAATTGCAATACAAAACAGTCGGATGTGACGGAAACTTACGACAATTTTTTTAAACTAACGATTTGGTCAATCATTCATAAAAATTTGTATTAATAATACTGAGAGACAGAATCTAGCAACTTTTTATACGATAGACATTTTTAGGATATCACACGAAATTGCTTTCAAATCAGATGAGACAAACACTAAGGAAATGAATTGATAAGAATCGACAAAAATATACCTTACTTATTAATTTTATTAAAAATATAATTTTTATTATTAAAAATGTATGATAGACGCATTTAGTTTTATTGATAAATAATTAAAAATTAAATACCGTCTCTCTCTCTCTCTCTCTCTCTCTCCACTCCACTCCATCTCCCTTTCCATATCTTTTTCTCTAATCACACAAAATAGTGATGTTTTGATCACAAGATTTTGTTATTTCATATTATCATAACTTAATTAATTAATACGATTTCAGACGCTAGTGGAAACATATATGAGTTACTAATAAGTTATACTGCATTTGTGAGTCAATTATTATTTATCTCTTAATTTTATTCTAAATAAACAATTCTTTATAAATATGAAATCAATTCAATTTGAAATGTCATTTCTTATTGAGTGATATCTATAAATATTTATAGAAAGTTGCACCAGAAGCTTATTGTTAAAACTAACTTAATATTCAAGTATCATTCAGCTTAACATACACATCTTATTATATTAACATACACTCCCACAATGAACTAAATATAGTTAGTATAATTTATAATAATTAGTTTTGTCTTCAAATGGAAAGATTTCCAAATGAAATATTCATTTATCTAATTATTACAAATTGTCTACATAATCATAGAGTCATAAATGTATAGCAAATTAAATAATATAAATTTATTTGAGCTAGTTATATGAAATGTATTATGATACACTGATCACAATTGATATCACATGGATGTTTAAAAGCCACTACTATTCTATACTGT